TTGCTCCGAGACCCGCTTCCCTGAGGGCCTTCTAAATCTGGCGGGCTGCGTAGTCCTTAGACATGGCTGATCCTCCTCTGCAGCTGAAAATATGATTGGATGGTGATGCAGAGGGTATGCGTCACAATAATAATCCCACAAATCTTGCGCGATGCTATCCCAGTGGGAGGCGACTGTAGAACCTTTGCTTTTTGGTCTGTTTTTAAATTTTTGATGAGCAGCCACCAAAGCGCATCTCCTTGATAAGATAAATCGGAAAAGCGTTGGAAGCAGATTTCTCCGGGTTTCAAAAAGGCCGTAACAGGGTCATCACTGCTGCTCCAAGTGCCATTTTTGACTGGGTTTTCAGTTCCCATGCAATCATGTGAGTGACGTCCTCGAGCGCTGGTTTGGTCCGGTGCCGGACCGGTGGACCCCTCTTGGCTGCCATACGCACGAGTGCTTTCTGCACCTCAAGATCATCGCCTGCCATTGGTCCAAAAAAGTGGCTTAGCGCAGCGATATGATATCCTAGGTTTCGCGCTACTGAGTTGTCGATGCATGAGTCGATGATAGCTGCGACTGAGTCTAAGCCACAATGGGATGCCATAAGTGCCGTAACTGAGGCATTTCTCCTTCTATGGTCGAGGAAAAGGTCTGAAAAGAAAATTGCCTAGTTGCTTCCCAGATGTTTTCTCCAAAAATCTCTCAGCGGGTGGGCGGGTGGGTCAAGACGAGTCGACGAACCGGAACGAGGGACTCGTAGCGTGATCCGGCCATAACGCCTTATGGCGAAATCCCGTCAACCCCAGGATACAAAGTACATGGCGTTGCGTTACGAAATCCCTATGCAACGCATAGCAAACAAGGTCACACCAGCCATATACTTTGCACCCTGCTACACACAAACAATCGATAGTAAAATTCAAAATAACAATTTAACCTCCATACTTACGGACAAACTACCGTTCTGAATTTCAAAATATGTACATTTCGGAACATTAAAGGCCTGCAGGGGAAGGGAAATGTATTAATGTGAAAACAAGGTCAAATTGCAGGTAAGGACAACCAAAAGTATGGGAATTTGACCATTAAGAACCGGGAAACGTGCAGGATAAATTTTCATACCTTTGATCTCTGTATCCATTGATCACCTTCGCGAAGAAAAAGATAGAATATTGGATTCCCATAAAGGGAAACCCAAATGCCCGTAGTGCCACAGTGTTTGGCGACAAGATTGATCTTGCAATCAAATAAGGCGGAGGAACGCACCACAGAAATTCTGATCCACAATTCGTGTATCGATCGAGAACGCGTCCACTGCCAGCGTTTGCTGTGAGACCCATCTAGAAACAAAGCGAGAGCATTTAGCTGTAAATTTGCTTGCGAACATGTCTAAAGTACATGTCCTCCACACGATTTGCAGCTCAGCAAAAATGCTACCGGAGATGGATCAGTCATCTAGATCGATAAAGCGCAAAGCATGATTTGCTTCACTTAATGCCCGTGAGATCCAGGCAAAATCAGATCGTATGTGAAGCAGGTCTAACAAGGGAATGGTCAGAAGTCGAAGTGGCCAAACCAAACAAGCTGTACACCATTAGATGCATATAAAACGCTGACTTCGAATCTGTCTTTCTTATCTGCTTCCCGCTTCTGTGGACGAAGCTACAAGTCATTAAAGATCATTATTTTGCTAAGAAATTACGCGTGAAATTGAAAATTTGCCGTGCAGAGCCACGTTTGCCTTAATGCTGGGCCAAAACATGCAGCTAGCCTACTTCAAATTTTTAAAGAAATAAGCTGAGCTAAAAATGCAACAGTGTGCTCAATTTCGCTGCTTTTATGTGCGATTTTTTCACAATAAAATTGCTTGTAGCTTCGTCCACAGAAGCGGGAAGCAGATAAGAAGGACAGATTCGAAGTCAGCGTTTTATACTGCATCGAATGGTATACAGCTTGTTTGGTTTGGCCACTTCGACTCCTGACCATTCCCTTGTAAGTAATCCCAGATTTGTATCGCCAAGCCTTGCAAATCAGGCTTTGTGCTGCATTTTTTCAGAACAGTTACCGCTGCCTGATTGTCGCAGTAGATAAAACCTTTTCGAAGTAAGTATAACGAGAGAAGGCCTTGGCGGCTTCCAAAATAGCTAGAAATTCGCGAAATGTACTAGAGGTTCCCAGAAATGATTTGGTATAGCCAAAAAACAGGTAAGTTTTCTGACTGGATCAAAGTAAAGGACTGATCCAACTCCGGAGCCCGAAGTATCGGAAAAAGTGGTTAAAGAAAAATCAGCTTGAACTGCAGAGTTTATTGCCAAACCAGAAAAACATGAATTAAAGGCTAACCAACCTCTTAATTCCGCCCTTTTTTTCATCGAGGGACCACCCGTACCTAAGTGCTGTTCCCTGGCTTTGCTTTTGCGCACTGACTGTGACCACAGCTTTCCATCGTTTCTTGAGATCTGCAGGGATGATCAGATGCATGAGGTTACCAGCCTTGCCATTTCAATCTTTCATACAAGGAAACTCCTTTACATCGCAAAGTATGGTGGCTAGGGTAACAGCTTTTTCCCGTCTAGTCAGTTATGTCAAGAGTGTAGGATTCTAAATCGATGACATGGCCTAACCAAGTGGCCTTTTGGAGCGGTCTCCAGCAGCATTTCTCTTCGGCTACTGAAAAGCCAGCTGCACTAAGATCGTTCCATATTACGGAAACGGTGGCCTCGCACCGGTGTGCTGTGTCAGCCCAAATTAGCCCGTCATCAAGGTAGACGGCTACAAGCAGCTCGGTGGCACTTTTTAAGCAGTGGCCTCATTAATTTGGTGAAGATAAGTAAGGCTGGCGACAGACTAAAAGGAAGAACTAAAAATTTGAAAACCTAGCTTTTCCAGCGAAAACCTAGGAACTAGGTGCAGGCACCATGCATTTTGACATGATGATAGCCGGCCTGGAGATCAAAAGTGGCCGTGTATCCGTGTTTCGGGAGTAGAGGTAAAACCCTAGCCACATCTTCGAAGTTTACGCTAACTTTTTGAAGGCACTTATTAAAAACCAACAAATCTAGAATTAGTCGCAACTTCTTACCTTGTGCAACTGAAATGGGATTGACTCTGACTGCCTTCCACTCTAACTTGGGCACCTCCTTATGGGATTTGCGTAAAAGCGACAATTAATTTCCTGATCACAAAAGATGAAAATTGGTACGCTGAATGAGAATTAGCCTTGCAAAAGTTTCAGACAGGTTCTTTGAGAAATTTGAGAGATAAACCATTGAGAATGGTATCTTTTACAACACGAGACGGATTCGAAGAAAACTAAAAATCTTTCTTTGTATGAATAAATCCTGCCAAATACTCACTTACCCTTTGGCGGGAACGGACATTGGGCTCGTAGATGACCGTCTCCGCAGTTGAAGCATAACGCTTGTGGGCTTCTCCCTTGCGGTTGGTTTGGATTGGGAAATCCTTATTGAATTCCTTGCATGGGATAGCTGGACGCTGGAAAACCATAGGGTTGGTCCACTGGGAAAGGAGAGACGGGTGCCCAGGCCGTCTCTCTTTCTCGAAAGGGTTGGGAGCGCGGAAATGAGTATGGCTGAAATCTGGATTCCCACACTGGCGCCCGAGGTGCTGGTACCTTCTTGTCTTCCTTCTTTTTTCTTTCCATCAGGGACGCGGTCAATATAGGGTTCGATGACTGCAAACTTTGCGCCTTGCTGTACTTGTCACAAAATTCCCAAACATCAGGGTTTTCGTCTGCCACGAATGGGAGCTCGTTGCGCTGAGTGAGCAGTTGAATCGCCTTCATCAAGTTCTTCTTGACATCGTAGTCCTCTGGGGCGTATTCGGCAATTGGAGTGATTATTGACACGATTTCGGAGTTGAAGTCGAATTGACGACTAAGGCCTGGCTTTGAAAACTTCGGTTTCGCTGACGAAGATGCCGCTGTAGAAATAGTAACCTAACCTGGAACGGGAATACTAGCTAGCATATGGTCGAAGTCCTCCTTCCGGAATTGTATGAGATCATCCGCGGCTGCTGGAACGGAGTCGTCGGGAATACAGGTAGGATCAGGACCGCGCGGTCAGTAGACATGATGGCGTCCGCTCAAGACGAGTCGACAAACCGGAATGGGAGACTCGTGGCGTGATTCGCCCATCACGCCTTATGGCAAAATCCCGCCAACCTCAGGGCACAAAGTACATGGCGTTGCATTACGATCCCCATGCAACGCATAGCAAACAGGGAGGTCATCAGTCATGTCCTTTGCACCCTGCTGCACATAAACAATCGATTGTGAAATTCAAAACAACATTTTTCAAAACGAGGCTGTCGCCTCATTGGCAGAAATAATTAGTGGGATTATATAAAAAGTTTGGAAGTGGCGCTTATAGATCTCCTCACTCCTTTTTGACATTTTCATGGTAAAGGGTGATAGAAAGCTGGTGCTTCAGGTAAAGATTTCTGAGCTACATTTTTCTCTCTCCTTCCTCCTGCCAGCGGGGATATAAATGCATGCGGCCTTAGGGTGCGATGATCCGCAGGGATCACATAAACGGTGTTGGACTCGATTTAGTGAAAATAACCTGGCGTTCGTTAGACTGAAGCACTAGATCCTCCGAAAAATAATTAGAAAGAAGGCTGGTTCATAAAACACTGAGATATAGGGCATCTCCTCGCAGCTTCCCATGCACATACGGGCCTAGTTGGGTAAAAAATATATTGTTGAAAAACAGAATTGTGTAGTTGATAGCAGAGATACCAGATTTTAGGTTTGTTGCTAAGTTACTGCGAAAAAATCTAATATACAAAAACGTAATTTTGCTCAAAGATTTGGAAAGATGCGTTCCCTAAATACAAAAGTACAAAGCGCATAAAGGTAAATTTTTTGGCGACCAAAGGATGCTAAGCCTTTCTATTATGCTGTGCATTACGAAAAAAAAGCGCGCCTGATAAAAAGAGGGTGCGTGTTATATGTTTATCTGCTATTTTGGACAACGCCATTATGTATTTTGCAGGATTACAACAATCGCCTGGAGCGATACATTCACCTTGTCAAGGGTCTTGAACGTGACAACTCACAGCTGGTCAATGAACTACGCCTTCTGGCTGACACTTGGAATCGAGACACTAATGGATACCAAGTAAGAGCAATTAAATTAGAGAGTTGAATTAGATGAGGGTTTATTACAGGATGTAGAACTTTACTAATTGCAAGGTTTAGTGAGAAAAGTTCAGAAGAAAAATTAGCCAAGCTTTTGAGACTTGAAAACTTGCGACACTGAGTTATGGCTGGCTATTATTGAGGGAAAATGCAAGTGTTGGGAAGTTAAAAAGTATTATCTCAACTTGTACTCAGAAGCTTATCACTGCCCGAAGATTTTCCACGTGCCTCTGTTATAGTTCCACTGAAAGACTAAAAGCACGTGCACAACTACCTTTTGATTCAACTGGCTTGGCGGCTGGAAGGAGGGGCTTCGTGCCCTAATTAAAGTTAGATAATGATCAGAGAGCACGCGCGCGACAGAGACGCAGACTGCGTGCCTTAATTGGGTCACAAAGCCGCGCCTTCTAGCTGCTAAACCAGTTGAATCAAAGGTTATGCAAGATACTTCTCAAACCCATAAAGAAAACAATCAGATTTTGATAGTAGGTCGATACGCTGGCTTAATAGAGATGTCTCTCAAGATGTGCTCCTTAAAAACCATACCTCATCCTTTCAGCCTTCGCCCATCGAATAGATCTCTACAAGGCGGCGTGTCGTCCAAACTCTTTGCTTTTTTTTTCTTACAAATGCTTTCTAGGCGTATGTCCAACATACTGGCACTACGCGAAACATATAGCATTCGCGCCACTCGGGGACGTATCCTCAGCAATCCTTTACACGGCAAACGCAAAATGTCAAGGCATTTCAATTTACGCTAATTCTGCAGCTCTGAGAACAAACTTACACGCGACTGGCTGCTCGAAGACGATATTGCTCAAGGCAGCCTTTCAAAAACCGAGTTTCTTTTGCACAAAGAGACAAACAGCTTATTCGCTTACAGCGTACAGATGACGCTATAAAACCAGATTTGATATCCATACGTGCAAGGAAGAGCTAACTCTTTTGAAAATTTGTTGGAAATTATGTGGTCAAGATTCAAGCTTATTGCCGAAAATCTCGATCTCCCATTACTGTGAATTGAAGAAAAATCGCTCGTTGCAACGCCAACGATATGGCTTTAAACATACTGTATATATGCCGAATGAGGAATAAAAAGCGTGTAACTGTATAAAGAACTTATATGAACAAAGGATGTACCTAAACTTGTTCCAGCTTTAAATGGCATTACGATTTTAACTTGAGAATTAGGGTAGCAATTACCAACTCAACATAATTGAAACTCTTGAAACCTGGCATATTTCGGTTCACACATTCTTCATAATTTATAAATAAATCTGTTCTTCACCTAAAATTCAATATATGGTGAAAAACTGGGTTCAAAACTCCTCAGAGCCCAAAGTAGCAATCGCACCGGTCTTTTAGGAGGAAAGCGCGTTGCAGTTCAACAAACCACGCAGTGACGCAGACAGGGCGATAAAAAGTTAAAATTAAGAGTGGCGAAAAATTCTTTTTCGCTTTCATTTGCCATCTTTGTGCCTGACTCAGCATAGAGCAAATTTCCAGAAACACTGGCGCAAATTTTAAAGTCTATACAAGCTCTAGCTTCCGGGAAATGTCAAATTTAGCTTTCGTCAGCGATTATTTCACACTAATCAATATCTCGGTATCAGCCAAAAGTCTACGCTTGTAACTTCTTAGAGGCAGTGTCCCGGCAGATTCGCGCCCTGGGGATATTGCTGTGGTGGGGTTCGTGGTTATCCCACTGACCTCTAGGCACAGTCCGGCTGGTGTCTTCCGTGGGCAGAGAAAATAGCCCATGAACCGGCGCGCGCAAACTAATCGGCGCGCGCTCGGCCGACTTGGCTTACCGTTCGGTGCGGGATCCTATTACCGCTCTCTCGCATTTTGCACGCTATCCAAAGCAAAGATTACAGGCATTAGGGTCTTCGTGCCAGGGCCTCCCAACTTTCCATTGAAATCCTCGTCCGAGTCGACTTTTGGAAATTGGGTGAACTCCCCGAAAAAGGACTTTTCACCCGTTTCAAAGCTCATATTCGGAGTCTGCGGGTCGAAAATGCCCAAAACATGCAAAAAGATTGAGATGCAAAATCTGCCGAAACACTGCCTTCAAAGGCAGCGTCCACCAAAATTTTATAATCCATGTTTCAGTGTTATCGGGCCTTTGCATTGTGCTAAACTCGAATATTCCGAATACATAATATACGAACTTTCAAAAGTCTCCGCATTTCTCCGCATTTGCTAGTCGTAAAATACACCGCTTCAAACACTGTAAAATTTTTGCGAATTCGCAATCTTCCAGAAATCGATTATGATTCCACTGATTCTAACAAACAGATGAGTTTCTACCGCCTCGAAATACTGGTTTTTGAAATCATCGAGTGCAGCCAGAGACGCATCAAAAACTAGAATTATGGAATTTTCCTTGAGGCGTTTTTGAATCAGGAAAACATCTTTCAAAAAGTGGAGAAGAAGCTGCATCGAATGACACCTTAGTCTGCCTGATGTTTTACGATATTTGGGGTGAACGAATATCAACTTTGGTAGCATCAAAAATAACTTTAACCTTGAAAAGCGCTATCGATGCCAAAAAATTCGGATCACATTGCATTTTGTTTAGTCTATCTAACTTATTAGAGCATTTCCACAAGTTAGAACGAATTCAAAGTAGCAAAGTTGGGGTACGGTAATGCGTGGGTTGAAGAGTGCGGCGATTATTCGAATGAACATTGCAGAAATCCGAAAAAAAATCACTGTTGGGATGATTTGAAAGGTCTAAAAAACAGCAAGAACGGACCCACCCAGTATATTAAGTCGTTCTGAAATTTCTTTCCGTTATTAACAGCCATGTCGCCAAACCAGCTGCTTTCGTAGCCACCAATATAATCGCCGAAACTTCAAGCCGTATTTTATGCCACAAACAAGTTTAGCATTTTTCAACATTTTGTAATAACTTCTGGAGTGCTGTGAAGCCATTAAAAAGTGGAATGAACAAGCTTTTTTACATCCCCGCTTAACTTTCCAGTATTATTGAAAATGATTTTTTCTCAAAAGTTTTTTGCAGTGTAGAGTGATACATGATCCAAACACTGATAAATCTTTACTCAGAAGTATCAAACTAGCTTATAGTTAGTTCAATTTGCGAAGCGAATGAGCGTTCAACGCCTCAAGATATCGAATCCTGAAATGCTACAGCCATAGGTTTGTTCGAAAACTCACAATCCCAGATAGATTCATTTACAAAGATTTCACAGGCATTGTTAGTATATTGTGAGTAGATTGGTAAAAAAATCGAGGTTAGTATTTATTAGTAAGTGGCGGCCTAACGTTTCGAGCTCTTCGTCTTCTTAAAAGGCCTAAAGTGGTAAGAGATTTACGATTTTATGTCTACCCCACCAAAAACCTCCTCCATCCCCGGCTAGCCTCGACGTTGCCCCAGAATGCTACAAAGAAAAATTCCATAACATGAAAGATGAACCAACCTCCTCCACCGCCGGCGCGCAGATGTTGAAAGCGGCCGTCCTTCAGTGCCACTGATACCAATAATGGAATACACTGTATACCATACTCGAACTAATCAGTGGTCTTTCAACTCACATAACGTCACGAATGGCATAAAGTCATTTGTGATTGACATACACTCATTTCGGCTGTTCATGCCAGGATTTCTTGCAAAAATCCAGAACGTCTCGAGAGCCTTTCTAATGGCAGTATCGTATTCGTATGCCAGTATTACACATGTGATCTCGAAGTCCTTACCACCGTGGACTTCAACTTAATGTTTACCGAGAGAAGAGGTAAGACTTCCTCGCCTTTCGCTGGCAAGATGTTCTTTTAGCCTTAAGCTTGGTATCAGTAGCACTGAAGGATGGCCGCTTTCAACATCTGCGCGCCGCGGTGGAGGAGGCCTCTGAAGAAGACGAATAGCTCGAAACGTTAGGCCGCCACTTACTGGTAAATACTAACCTCGACTGGCTTATAATCTACTCAAAATATCCGATTCGTCGGTTCTATGAGGTTTGGTTTTGACAAAATAAAAATTTGCTAACATCAAAGAAGTGATTCTGTGATTCTGCTAGTTGGAAATGCCAAAAAAATCACAGCGTTGCATTTTGTTTCCTCTATCTAGCTGTTATCAAAACTCTTCCAAGTTTACAAAAAAAGAATAATTGCCAAACTTAGGTATGGTGAAGAGTGGTTGAAGGTATTTCAAATTTCTGCTAACCTTAGTTAATGCGAAAGCCAATAATTCAAAGGGACTACTGGAAAGACGATGAAAACACATCAAACAGCTTTTGAAATGTTTGCCAATCTCAATACCATACGTTTTCATGGCAGATCGAAGAAACGGAGAGGGCTTTCGGAACGACTTAGTATATAAACATCTTACTCGGTATATCGTTAATAATCTTGATGCTTCCGCATTAGACCAAGATTAGCAAGCTAGTCGCGAAAAATTATGGCAGCTTTGTTAGAGCAGCTTTTCTTGTCATCAAAGTCATCAAACTCATGAATAATCTTTTCCAATTTATCTACAAATTTTCAGCTTTAAACAACTAAAGACCTATTAGTGCTTTGGTTCTTGTACGGATTATTAATATTGAGCTAAAATGCGAATTGGAGAATAAGCATTTCGTTCAGAAATCTATGTCACCTCGGACTGAGTATAACCCCGGAGCCTTTGACACCAAACAAAGACTTTTGAAATTGAGTGATGATAAGAATTATGCAAGCACATAACAATATATTTTACCAGTAGCTACTAAGAAGATTATTCGGTGCTATCGTATTTGAAATACGCTTATGTTTTTGCTCTACATCTTCCTATTATCAATTTTTATTCTACAAAAGAAAAGGTCGACGTTTCTAGATCTCCTTCACCGAAGCTATAAAAACGCAAAGAGATAAATCCGTGGCAGAGGTAAAGTCTTCAGTGGAACAATCAATTCGTGCCAAACGAATCCGCCATGATATTGAGGACTACAATCGCAGGCAAGTTAATTCATGATTGCAGCTCACGCGAGTACAGCGTCGAACGCTGCAATGGTCAGCAATGTGACAAAGCTGGCACAAAAAAAGGATTGTTGTAGACCGCGCATCTACAAACATTTGTTGCAATAAATAAGCTTTTAAACGTTTGATTCAATTTTTGGTATGCCATCATAATCTCGCCAACCTTCATTTTGGGTGGACGGTGCCTTTAAGCATTTAAACTGGCCTCATCGATTAGGGGTAGGGGAACGAAGGCCGCCAGTTTGGGACGCCTTTCGTCTTTAAAGGGAGTACGTAATTGTCATAAACTAAGGTTGCAGCTTAGTAACGTAAAAAAAGTTCGTACACTTCCATTATATGTTTCAAACACCTTTCCATATTACTGTTTCTCATTACTGAAACTGAAGAAGCTTTTGCATAATATTCTCATTTACAAATGCAACCTCATTCTTGGTCGCCAAGCATGTACAAGTGCAGTATCAGGGGCGCATTCTTTAACAGATAAATTTAAATTTCGCGATTAATACTTTAAGTGTAATAACCAATCCTAAAGCAATCTCATAGGGAAGAAAAATACAAACAGAAGAATTATTTAGTTAATTTTTGTTCTTCAAATTGGAACGCCTTAGACGCTTCAATTGCTTTCATAACTGGAACTGTATGCTTCAGTCTCGCTTTACAAAAATATCTATTTATCTTAAAAAACACTGTTCGCTAGATAGACGAACACGATCTTTTTGATTTTTTAGATCTCTCTCAGCTCATTAAATTGCAAATCTACCTTTTTTCTTGATGAATTTCGAAGGCCGGAGTGAAGCATCAAAGACTCTACTTAGAAATTTCTTATTATACTTCAATTAGCAGATTTTCTGGCAAAGCTGAAATAGATGCAGCTCCGTTTTAGCCTCACTACAGCTTTTACTAAATATCAACAACGCATATGATCAATGTTGTTCGCTAGCTATCTACACTTTTGGGCATCTACGCAAAGCGTGGAGCAGTTCTAAAATCGTATCTGACTCCCTCTAATATGAATACTTCAAGCTTCTGAGTATAACTGTCAGCATATAAACTCAAGATGAAGGTTTGTTGGAAGTTATTTTACTGCAGAATAGATGAAATTCGTCATGCCGAAGAAGGAGATCGTGCAAGATGTGCGGAGCTTCAATCTGATATTTCAAGTGCCGAGCGGGAATTAGAAACCCAGTTGAGAGAGTGAGTTAGTTTGCCGGGAAATATCAACTGGCGTAATGTGTTCGTGCATATTGTCGTTTTAGCAATAAGCGCTTGGATGACGAACGCAATCAGCTTAGAAATCAGAACGCCACCCTATATGAGGATTACAAGCGAATTTGGGATGTTAGTGCAAGCATCATCAACAAGCCAATGGCATCAAAACACCTTTGTAAAATTTTAGGAGATTGATCGCATCCGCCTTGAGTTGGCCGAGTACCAAGCAAGAGAACAGCGCCTTCTTGCTGAAAAAGAGTTCTTGCTCAAGTGGCTTACAATGGATATATTTCCTAAATTATCATATACTTAGTGAAGTTTTGCAGAGTACAAGAACGAGAAGCCGCAGAAATTGGTAGCCTCATTCCTGAATCCTCTTTCGATGCTAGAGAATATTTCAAGAATGATATAGCTCTTGCGATTAAGTAAGTCAAGCCTTGATGTATATAAACCTAATTTGGATAGTTTAGGGACATCAAAGTTGAATACGAGGAATCACATAGAGTTATTCGTTCTGAAGTAACGTCATACTATTACCAGAAGGTTGATGCATTGGCACATTGGTAGACCCAAAAAAGTTCTTGCTTCAGCTGGACGAGCTGCGCAAACTGGCAGAGGGCTTACCTTCAGACGAACCTCGATTGCGCCAAGAGCTGATAAGCAAAATGGAGAACATGATCGGTGACCTTAGGATGCAATTCGGCACTCTCGAGAATAAGAACCGAATGCTTGAAGACCAACTGAGACAGATACAGAATACGGTGGGCAGAAACTAAAATTATCTTCTATCTCTACTTGATCACCTTACATTTCTTTGAAAATTTCCACCGTTTTTCAGTTGAGAGATGATATCGATAGATACGAAGATGACATGCGACGTAGACACAATCAATACAAGGAAGCCCTTGAATCTTACCAGCGCCTGGTAAATGTTTTGCTCTTTTTTCAAAGTAAATCACTTGACAATAAACTCCCAACGACATGACTCTCTCTCTTCTTTTCTCTTGAAAAATTTTAAGAATCAGCACACTTCTTTCAGCTTTTGGAACAAGGAGCAGAAGGAGATGAGCTGGCCTTACTAGAACTAGAAATTTACAGAAGGATACTCGAATGCGAAGAAAAGAGGTTATCTTTTTCAGTCAAATATCTGTGAGAAGGTGAACAACAGATTTAAGGTGGGGAGCGCACATAGCAACAATGCACGAGTCCTACTCTCAAATTACCAAGCATAGGACATATATTGTGAATTAAATTTGTATTTAAGAAACCTAGAGAAGGAATTGAATAATGTTATTTTTAGACAGATGTGTACATCAAGGATTGTGACGAACACGGCGACTATGTGATTGTTGAGAACTTAGGCTATACTAGTGTAAGTGTTATTTTGCTTTGAGCCAACAATAAGTTTGCATTCTCAGCAAAATTTGGGCGGGTACCGTCTTAGCAGAAGGGTAGGTGGCCGTGAACGGTCCTTCACTTTCCCGGATCCATTCATTCTTGGACCTAGACAAACCGTTCAAGTAGGTTCTATACTGTCTATGTAGAGGTTGAGTCATTCTAGTTCCAATTCGCCAGGTATCTGCCCGAGGCTACACTTCCCAAAGACGAGAATGCAACCACTATCTGACTTTCGATAGTGATATCACCTGGGGCACAAACGAAGACTTTGTGACTCGCCTTTACGACAAAGAAGGCGTTGAAGTGTCAACTATCGAAGAACGAGAAAGAAGTTAGATGAACTTGCCGCAAGGATGTTAGTGTAGCTAGATACTCATCTACCCCTTGCTGTACACCTATGTAATAGACTATTGATAGCGTTTCCTTGATAAATACAAGGTCATTGGACGATATATATCCGCTCTCATGCCTGAACTCGGCATTTCTCTTCAACACTTGTTTGCATGTGAACAAGTAGTGAGGTTTAAGTTCAATGCTGTCTAGGATTATGTTGCAGCGGATTAGACAAACTATTGCTTTCACAGTTACACTGCCTTTGTGAGAGTCTCCAATAAATATCATTTTTTGTTCATATTTGGCTGTGTACGGGTGGATGTAATAACATCTTTGACAGATTACATTTCGCATATCTCCCTTTTCCAGCACTACTTTCAAAGCATCCTTGAAACTCTGGATCTCGACACTCCATCACACTCATCTTTACAGCAGTGTCATTTCCCTCCCCAAGAATGGGTCGCCAAATTTTTTTTACTTGTATGGGTTACGGAATTGTGCACGACTTGTTTGTACTTGCAAATAATTAGTATTTTTTAAAAAATTTTGGAAAACTCAAATTCAATGCCGTGGCGGCAATCACACGTTTTTTTTCTAAAAATTCAATATCATGTGCCCGCAAAAATTTCTGGAAGCATATCAAAAATAAAAATCGGATTTTCTAGCTAACGCCACCCAACCTTGTATTTGCCTCTTCCCCTTTACCCCTCCTTCCCCCCAAAACGGAAATCGGGAGTGCGTCGCAGCTATACGGGTGTTTATACCTGGACAACGGCAACAAAATCCCTTGAAACTGATTTCGAAACTTCTCAACACTACCACAAATCTTTGCTAGTTGCAAGCCAAGCTGTGTGTTACCCTCAGTCGTATGCTCTGACCATTTCTAATTTGTTACAACGGATTTGCACTTAAGAATCGCTCTTTCAAAAGGCATTAGGGAAAAAAGCTGCTAACGTAAGATATAATGAGCGTCAAAGTGCCGCCATCACTTGATTTTGATGGATACAAAAATAGCAGAAAGTGGATTCCAACCAGATCCTTGATTTTGAATGTTAATGGTATAAGCGCATTTGAACGAGGAGAGCACTTGAAACAGAATCACTTGCCTTTTTTCGCGCAAAGAGCTTGACTGCCGGACATGCGAATTCGGGGTTTTTATTTGAAAAATGGTATAAAATGGACATCGTCTAGATGCGCCTCTCATTAACGTTACTCATGGCTGCAGCTGCGAAGTTTGTCATGATTGTAAGTCTAGTTACCTCCCACCATGTAGATGCACTATCAACTTATAATTTAAGCTAGCTGCAATCGTATACTCCGTTGGAGGCTCCAAAAGAGGAAGAAGCGCTTGCCGAAAGCAATTTCAATCTCGCGGCCGTACGCTTCATGAGTTAGAAATGCAGCTGAATTTGGCAAGTCACCTCAAGCAATTCTTAGTAAGCATGGAGAATGTTAAGGTCTACGACTGCTTGCTGGGAAAGTTCGCTGAAATCGCGGATTTGGAACCTGAAGTTTTCCTTAATTACACCAAAGGATCGAAACTGGTGAGAGGCGGTGAAGTTTGTAGCGCACTTATGTTAATCGCATACTCGCTTTTCCATAGAGGCAATCGCTAGTGAGCGCTTCACGCCACGTTCGCGCGCGGATGGCTTACAAGGGAAGGATGCTTGATTGAAGTGGCTTTTCCATATAGAATGTATACTATTTTATAGAGCATGGAACGTTGATTCCAAATCTGTTTTCTTTATCTGCAAAACGTTTTTGGAAGGGGAGTTTTGGGAATTTTTTGAGATGAAATTTCAAAGATTTCGCTAAGCCAAACACAGGTTTCGCAGTCTTTCCGGCGCTTGAAAGAATGATTGACTGACTGAGTTTACTAGCTTAAAGGTAATTATTGCATGAAACGATTTGTAGTAATCATGGCCCCATTAGAGCTCACGGTCTAGAGCTTCGAATTGATCTTACTGTAGCGGCGCTTTCAAACTTCTGCAGCAAAAAATTTCCATAATTCCTCTTCCGAAAGTGCTTTGCAGATGCCGAAAGCAATTTTGAAATCAGCGTTCCATGCCCTATAAGAGAGTAAACATCTAGTATGGTAACGCCACTACGACCAAGTATCCTTCGGCCAGTTATGTGAATCGGGCTCATCGATTAGAGTTAAAGGCAGCGTCCAGACAGGATCTCGACTTCTCTATTTGCCTTATCCAGGCCTCTTCATGGCGCCGATTCCATATATGGCACTCAAAAAGGGTAAATTCCTCAAAAACCCCGTTTTTGTAACAATTTTGTAAGACGAGAGCCTAGACGAGTGCTTCTAATGCAATCCTTGTCGAAAGCATTTACGGTTAGACACCTGTTCCATTGTGTTTGCTTGGAAACACGTCAAGGGCTGAGGAGAGTTCGTTCAGGCCTCGAGGACCACGCCCACTCCCTCGAATGGCCCGCCCCCTTGAACGAGCTCTCCTCAGCCCTTGACGTGTTAAAATGGGGGGCCGGGGGGGGGGGGTTGGGGAATTCACGCATTTTGACTGCCGTATCTAGAATCAGCGCCATGAAGAGGCCTGGAATGATATCCACGAAAGTCCCCGCAAAATGGGCTTTTCGTGCGAATAAAATGGACTTAGTCCATGCGGTGCGATAGGATATCGCATTCGCGAATCCATTCATTCCATACAAAATTCTTCAGCAAACCTTTCTCCAACTTGCTTCAACCTGTTTACTCACTCTTGTAAACTCATTTCTACCAAGTGGTCGGTATCTAACCAGGTGAGCTAACATTACAGTGTCAGTCACGTGAATATTCTGTGCTTTCACACTTCATTATACATCAAAAAAAATGCCATTTATTATCGATAACTATGCGTCGAAAACATCTTCAAGAATATAATTCACATAATATCCGGGCCTTCGCTTCTCAAGACTTCTATGGATCTGCTTTAAGTCAAATTCGTATGTAGAGCTCTCGGGGGAAAGCAAACTTTGGCTAGACTTGCACTGCAATCTGTGAAGCAAAATGCTTACCTTGTAGGAAACCTTGCCCTACAACCCGAAGGGTTCTTTGAATCGGAAAACTACTAGTCGCAAAGAATGACTTCGCAAATGTTTTACTTTAGCTCTTCTTTGTCCTTCAGCATTAATGTTTATATCTCTAAGTAGTTGAATGTATGGACTACTGCTAGTAGAAAATTTTCACAAAATTTTTCTTGCTAGCTAGCGGCATTTCAATAATTCTTGCCACCAATTTCAAAGTCGCGTTTGAAATGCCGTCTTTGAAGTTCGGTTCTACGAGAATAGTCAAAAGATAGCTCCTGAGTATTGAAACGCAAATCTTTCTTATTCTCAAATACAAATCATGAATTTAGTTTCGGTTGATAATCTGAAGGGTTACCAGACTTTATTCGATTTATATAGGAATATTCGCATCGACCTGATATTTAGTATTTTGGTGAATTTGACCTTCTTCTATGATATTTATAGCGTTTGTATGAGTTTAGAAAGAAACACTTATTTCAGACTTCATAAAATACAGGAAACTTTTTCCACTCACTTGTTACCTTAGAATGAGCTGAGGAACACATTCTCAAAAAATCGCTATCAAAAATATGCAAAAAGGTCAAAAATGGGCTCAGTCCCAGCTCACCTTGCTGCTGGGAGTAAAATGGGCTTTCAAGTCCATTTGAAATGGAGGTGAATCCCATTTTGCCCCATTCTAAAGGGACTTTTCGCATGATTCTTTCGCAAGCGAGAGCTTAAGTAGGGTTGAATCATTTTCATCACACCGCTTTGCCTCGTGGTTGCGATGAGATAAAATTTTTTGGATAACGCTAGCGAAAAAGTAGATTAAAAAAGTAGATTCCGACCAGTTTCTACCGCGAACGAATAAAATGGGGTTTGAAAGTCCATTTTTCTCCATTATGGACTTTCGTGGATATCATTCCTGGATAAAGCAAAAAAGAGAAGTCGAGATTCTGCCTGGACACTACCTTTAAGCACGCTGAACGCTCGCCTTGTGCATGCGCAGTTCCTACGCAAAAGAGAGTACGTAAGTAAGTTACCCAGTTCAGGTGAGGACCGCGTGAGTTGACGGGAGCCCGTCTGGCAATTTTCGCAGCTAAAGTATACCATGTTGTCCTGAGAATCATGTCCGCGTTTCCTCATTCTCCTCAATACTTAGCTGGCAGAATGTCAGCGCTACCTGACAATCTCTATGGCAAAGCACACACGATACTCCGTTTGGAATGCTGCTGCCCACATTGGGTTGAAACGGAGTATAACTAACATAGACTGTAAGCCTCAATTTAGACACTTCGAGCAAGCACATACTCGTGTATTCTGCAGCAGAGAATTTTTGAGTAAGCCTACTGCAACACGAAAGCGTGAAATTCAGGGAGTGCTGGGAGGGGGAGGGGCAATCACAGTCCTATGAAAAAAGCGCGCAGCATTTGCGCCGGCTCAACTAGAGCTTTTGCGCATTATCAAGCAGCAGTTTTTTTTTGGTAAGTTTGTAAACATGTTGTCTTGAAGCAATTTTGAAAAAAAGACAAACATTCTGCAAATATCATACAGAGGATTCAATGAGAAAAAAGAAAATACATTTTAGAAATGGATGGATTATACTAAAATAGGGCGAAACACGTACTTTCGAAGCAAAGAGATTTCAGACAAGAATCTGCGCGATAAATGCACAGATACATTCGTATATTTCAATCGGACGTAGGCCGAGCACTCTATACAAAGGCGCGTCCGCCTTGCTGCAAGCTTTGCGAGCTCAAAGCGCTAGCATCCCGCCACTTAGAGACTGATGAAGATGAGGAGACGCAGACGTGGACATGAGCATAATGCAACCTAGTGTAGGTGCGATATGGCGTGAACCGTCGAGGCGAACGCCCGCTACTCCAATATCGGCCTAAAGTGGGTTGAAACGAAATGTATTGGTGATGCGGTCCTGCCATTGTACTCTAATTCGCACAAAGCGGTTAATGAAAGAACTAACAGCTTATTAGTCAAAGTGCCCCTGTCTGGTCGGAAGTGTAAGTACGCACTCCCAACATAAATTGTTGGAGCAATGCTGCACGATCCACGTTCCCGGATGTAAAGACTAACATTCTCAAAGAGAAGAATCAAGGTATCTCGTTACCCTAACAGCGAGCGAGCGGCCCACCTTCCCAGCGCAAGCGGCGAGCGATAGTACCGTACATGTGCCACACCTTACCCGTACGATCGCCCCTTGACGGCAGCACAATCGCACACACCAACGAGCGTTTGTAAGGTCGTCGCTGGCCGCCCGCACGGCGCGAGTCCCTGAGCGAGTTGTGCGACGTCTGTGTTTGGCAGTCAGTCAGGCTTGGGCAGTCACATGCCTGGGCCAAACAAAACATATGGGCTTCAACCATCAATGTTCTGCAAGCAAAGGCCCTCGCGCTATGAATGCGTGCCTGCAGAATGGACATTGCAACTGTGACAAAATACAGGGTGTCCCAAAAAAATGTGCACACTGTTTGATTGTAAATAACTTTCTTGTGAAGTGTTTCGAGAAGCTTTAGGTACCGTTTTGTAGAGCGAGGTTCTTAGATTTACAGTGTAGAGCGAATCGCCGATCGCTCATTCTTACTGTAGGAGTACGGTAGAAACTTCAAACATATGGTGTCACTGTGAAAAAAGCGGCCGTTTCAAAAATTTTCATAAAAATGTGGAAGTTTGTGTATTAGGGTTTTTATGGACCCTGAGTTCAATACCCAACTCTTTACAAGGTTGAGAAGCTTTCTAAGCGGTATAACCGCACTTTTTAAGAACACTTAAAAAACGTCTGCTACTGCTTACCTCGCATAATTTTTAATGAAGCATTAGGAAGAGTTGCGAACTTCACATTTAGAATCAGCAACTCTAGTTAGCCCAGTGTGAGAGTTTTCAGGTTGTTTTGGTTTCTTTTTGGAACAAAATTTGGCCTTTCATGGCTCAAACCCCTCTTCAAAGTTTTCACCGTAATCCTACAGTAAGAATGAGAGATCGGCGATCCGCTCTACACTGTAAATCTAGGTTGAGCCTCTCTCTACAAAAAGGTACCTAACGTTTCTCGAAACACTTCACCACAAAAGAGTTATTTACAATCAAACTTTTTTGGGACACCCTGTATAACAAAATCCGACTTTTTAGATCACTCACTCGGCTCAACTCAGAGGGAAACGGGGATTGTTGGACGATTTCAGAGAGTTCGTCGAAGAGGTGCACAACAGTAAAGAAGACTGATTTTTTCACAGAGAGAAAGAGAGAGAAAGAAAGAAAGAAAGAAAGAAAGAAAGAAAGGGTATCTCGCTTGCAGAGGCCACCAAAAATTTATCAGTCTAATTTTAGACACCCTGTGATAGCTTCGGATGCTTTGTGAACAAGAAAAGACATAGAGCAACATGCGTTTTCACAGTTAAAACTGAAAACAACAACAACAACTCAGAAGATCACGAAGATCACGAAGATCATGAGATTGATTAATTTGTATGTTATATATTGTATTTTGTCCAATAAGTTGATAGTCAAATTCAAAATGGACAGTTGTTCTTTCTCACTTGTGTTGCTTTGCAGATATTTGAGTGCGAGTTTTCTTAAATAAAGTATCTTCACTGCAAGATAGTTCTTATGAACAGAATGAATCTGTTTTCCATTGAGAATTTTTGCATCTTATATATAAAGCTGAATGTCTGTTTGTTTGTCTGTCTGTCTGTCTGTATGTCTGTCTGTACGTATGTTCCGAATAGAAAATTCCATTTCTGAACCGATCGGGACCAAACTTGGCACACATACACTTCGGGCCCCGGCGGGTGTCATAGACTACTTTTCGTCATCGATCGATATCGATTTTATCGATTTTTTTGCAAAATTTGAGCTACGGGGCTGGGAGTTGGGACAGGGGGGTAATCGAGCATGCTGATCACCCCCACAGGGGTGATCAGCATGCTATACGAAGTTCATCTGAACTGTAGTTTCCTGTGTAAACTGCGACGCCCATTTGCAAAGCCATTTTCTCATGTAGAGGATTAAACATAAGGTGACAAAGATGCGCAGAAAGTTCAAATCAACAGTGTTGGAGATGTTCTCAATGGAAAAAGCAAGAATCGTGATCTAATAACAACTTAGGCACATGCCTTATTGATTCACTTGATCCATTCGATCCACTTGATCCGCTTAGTCCACTTCACTATGGGTTGAATCAGTGCGGATCAATTGATCAAACGGATAACCGCTTCGCCATTGGTCAGTTCACTGATTTGATCAGTAATGGAGTGCATGAAATGGATCAGTTGGACCAACTATGGCGCGTGCCTTATGGTTGCTTCAGACTGCCGCACTGACCGCAGCAGACCGCAGCCGCAGCTGACCGCAGCTGACTGCAGCTGACCGCAATATCCCAAAGTCGCACAGATCGCTGCATCCTTTCGTAAAGGTGGAGAGGATAACTAGTTGTAGCCCAAACAGTCAACAGCAATATATGCCCCAAAAGACAACACGAGCGAGACTAAAACAGGTATGCAACGATAGGAGGAATCAGAACAAGGCATATCATATAAAAATAATCGCCAAAATTTGATTGAGAAAACTAAGTTAGAATTTATGAACTTTCTAGGCTAAATCATGGCGTTTTGACGTAATCGCAATCGTTTTCTCTTTTTTTGTAAAAAGATGCAGCGTCATGTGCGGCCGTTGCGATCAGGGCGGTCAGCTCCAATCTGCTGCAGTCCGCTGCATACCTGCTGCAGTCCGCTGCGGTCAGTGCAGTCAGTGCGGCATTATGAAACAAGCCTTAGACCCACAACCTGCGATTAGAAGTCCAACAGGTATGGGATTCCTTTGAGACTTTTTTTTCTTATCGCATGCTCCGCCGAAAACATACCTCACGCGATTTGGCAATGCTTCAATTGGTCAGAGCTCATTGTAAGAGGCTTCTAAATGTACGAAGGATGGGGCATTTATCAACTTACAAAAGTTATACGTGCTGCTTTAAGATATCCAGCGCTGAATTTGAAGACATCTGGCAAATTGCCAGATCGCGTAGCGACTGAAATTGCCTGAGGTATGCCTTGGGCCTAACAGTGCCGGTTCGATCGTTAACACATCAATAGAGAAAGGTGAATAATCTTAAAGAGATAGGAAATCCCCGAGACGTCAGGAAGAAATCCTATGTTGTTTGTTGACAATGATAAAACAATCAGTGCGTCCTGCTTTGCAGATGCTGAATTCGCTGGTACTTTCTATGTGCTTTCATAGCCGAATAGCCTACTTCACATCACAATAAAGCACCGAGTAGTGAGCATCACGAACGAATGTAGATGGCTTTCAGTTCAAAATCTCGCTGTGTAGGGTAGGTAACTTCGGAAGTAGGACAATACCCTGATTTCACGCGTATAAGACGCACTCTCAGCCAATATGCAGCACTGTACACAGTTTTTTTGGTAGCGAAATCCTTCGGCGTTTCTGCCGCGTCCTATATGCGCGAATTAGGGTAAATACAAATTCAATCCATTCATTGAGTTGATCATGATCTCATTGCTTCACTTAATAGTTGATGCGAACATTCTTGAGGAAATTTTTCGCCATTTAATGGAAAAAAACCTTGAAAATCCACTGTTTATGCAGTAGATCTCCGGCGAAGTCTCTAAAATGCAGATTTCCAATGAATTATCTGATTTGACTCGCAAAATTTCCACGTCACATCCGTAGAACTGGGGTCTGTATCAAAAATTCTTGACGCGCATACCTTCGATAGTCTAGAGACAGGGCGTCAAAAATGAAGGTTGTTTGAACATCTGACGTCATAAATAGTGAAGGTTGTTCAAAGATGATCAGAGAAGAGAAAAAGACATAAAACAGATGTAAAAAGCAAAAGAAACTGCTGAAAACCGGATAAAAACGCCGCAATGAGGCTTGAAATATTTCATTTGGCGGCTTTTCAAAGCGCAAGTTTTCGCTTTAGGATCAGCAATTCGCAACACGGGGTTTTGATTTTTGGTGCGTCCTTTAAATTATTACCCCCGCATTGACATTCCTGTTTCCTGGGACGTTGTCTGGATTGTTGCGCTTATTGTTCTGAGCAACAATCGCCCAAGCTGGAAAAAAATCGATGCGAAAGCACTGAAACAGAACAAGGTAAAGAAAAACGCACTTTTTGAGGTTTTTCGCAAACAATTCCACAATAATCGAAGAGATAGAGGCTGGGTGGTTGTCTGCATTATGAACAGAAGCAAGATCTATAGAATGCACGAAAAAACCGCGTAAAAAGAGGTAAACTAGAAGAAAAACAAGAGATTTTCAAAAACAAGGTTTTTGCCGGATTTCTCGTTCAAATCAAGAATTGTGATTTTGGGACGTTGTCAGCGTAAAAGTAGAGATCAAGAGCTTTGAAACGATATATAGCTTGTCAAAATTGGGTTCGAAACAGAGGAGAAAAGAGTACCAGAGCCAAATGCCCCGCACCCCGCGTTTGGGGTAGCGAGGTAGCGCAGCGCGCGGAGACGCAGACGAGCAGCGGAGACAGACCAGAGCCGACGGGGCATTTGGCTCTGGTCGTAGATCTCGTCGGAATCTCCACGAAACCCTGTAACATTATATATCATTCTGACCGTCATGACACGACGAGGGGAGCTGACAACGTCCCAAGCTTTAAAAGTCGCTTGCTAACGAGATAGAGCAGCATTTTCCGGTTCGACTCTCTGCTCACATTTAAGCGCAGTTTCTCGTTTTAATTCAACTCCAAAAGCTTTCCCAAACTTTTGAAACTCATTTTTGGTCAAGTAAGAGGCTAAGTGAGGAACGTGTCATGTATTCTGAGGAAACTTTCACAGAAATTCTCTTTTCAGCGTAAAAAAGGCATTTAAAAAAGCAATTTCTCGGTTTCGCTGAGATATTCTTCATATATTCTTTCCTATATTTGGTATATTCACATTCGATATAGTCAGGATAGTAACATCCGGGGCTTCGCCCCAAATGATCTCTATTTTTTTCCCAGATGAAGGTTGTGTCCCCTCATAGTCCTCAAAGTGAAGGTTACCAGAGTGAGTGGCTCTATGTATCGAGGGTATGTTGACACGGATTCAGATTTGGGGAGTGTCGTATGATGAGCTGAAGTATACGCAAATCGCTCACCTCTGTAAACGGTGAACCAACATGCGGATAGCGCATGTTGTGAAGAATTTTGGCTCAGGATAACGGCTGCAACTCCCTGTACGAACGTCGTGATAGACAGAAAAACGGAAAAACGTACGGTTTTGTTTATTGGGATAGGACGTTACATCTTTAACAATCTATCAAAATGCCAGATCAGAGTTAACGCTTGAAATCTCACTAAGGTATTTAGTTGGTTGAAATGATGTTTTGGCCAGCATATCGCATTGTTCGCAATATTTCATTTTAAAATCTGTTAAACTTGTCAAATCACTGAATTCTCAAATTCGAACCACTAAAAGCAATGGCCTTTTGCATGGAGCACGTTCATCTCTAGTGGACTCAAATTTAAAAAAGAGCACGAAACCATGAACTAGAGAGAAAAGCAATCTTTGAAAATCAATTCTCAATAATTCGAAAATTCTTAAATCCTTGTGAAATTGGTGCTAATAACTTTATCACGCAGCCGCAAGCCAGTATTGCAATTTTAATCGTATGCTGAAGCGGTGAAATCTGTAGGAGAATTTGTAGTCAATTTTTCTTTTATTTGTCCAGTTTTGAACCACACAATTTTTAATTTTCGAGTATTGAAAGAGTTTTGAAAGAGTATGAGCAAATTGCAGCAAGGGCCTCACTTTCGTGTTCAAACTTAAGAGATAATTTGAGCACCGCTTTCCATAAGAAAATATTGGTTTAGAGTGGCTGCAAAGAGCATATATAGTCGTCCTCACCCCACTAGTCGGTCGATGGTCGAATTTGAATTCGAACTGGAGCAGGCCGGCCGCGGCAGAGCGCGGCAGACACCGCCCCTTAGCCAACTGCTTGCACTGAGGCGCGGGTCTGCCGCGCTCTGCCGCGGCCGGCCTGCACCAGTTCGAATTCAAATTCGACCACCGACCGACTAGTGGGGTGAGGACGACTATATACTCAGGCGTTGAATCTTCACTTTCAGAAAAAATGATGCTGAAAATGCCCTTTAAAAAATTGTGCAATAGCATCCCAGATTTTTCGCAAGTTCAATTTTGAGATCATGAGAAAGGGCCGATGATCCGCCATGCCCTTTAAAAAATTTTCTCTGATTTTTATACCAAAGAAAACGACTACCACGCAGTCCTTCTAACCCATTCAGATCACATTCGAAAATTTTTAAAGTTATATGCGGAATATAACAGAATAGACTACATATGCAGTAGATTACATATGTGTAACGGGGGAGGGGGGCTACTGATATGTCCCGAAATTTACCTGATGTTGTTGAGAACACTGGTTTGTTTACAAGATAGTTAATCAAATGGCACAAAAAAACAGAACGAGACCTCGTAAAGATCCAACAACGG